CCCCAAAACCCCAAAACCCCAAAACCCCAAAACCCCAGGCCAAAAGAGTATAATTGAAATAAAAATGATTTCTAAAGCATCTCTACATTTCTTCAAAAGTCAGGTGAGGAACTACTTCAAGCTTATTACTCTGAATGGGAAGACTTATGAAGTACCTCCTAATTTTAGAGAGCCTGTGTATGATATGGAAAAGCTCCAGAACAGTTCCAATGTTATTCTCATGCGCCATGGGAATACTTTGTTCAATCTCTCCTACGAGTAAGATTCATATTCAAATATATGTTAAAATTTTATAGCCAAATCTTTTTCGAGAAAGGATATGGAAATGAGATCCTAGATCTCTGGCACGACGATAGCTTCAGAGACAGCCCTCTCTCTGATTTTGGTATCGAGCAATGCAAGCACACAGCCCAGTTCGCAGAGCAATTTGATATTGACATGGTCTTGATCAGCCCAATGAGGAGGACATTACAGACTGCTCATTATTTACTCAGGAATCATCCTCAAAAGGACGAGATAAAATATGTAGTCCATCCTGGAATTAGAGAGCATGTCTACGGATACTGTGAAATGACTAGGAACTGGGGAGATAAATATAACAGAATATACAAGAACCTCTTCCCAAATCTGGATATCAGCTTAATGATGAATCAAGACGGAACTTATGATGAACTATTTTATTCCAAAGATTTCCAACCAGAAGTGAGTGAAAGGTTCAAAGGAATGTCGAAAAAGACCATAGACCACTTAATCATGGAAGCAGCAAGGGATAACTTTCCAAAAGCAGCTGAAAATCTTGAATCCACCTGTGATAGAACTCAACGAGTACTTTCTTTCCTTAACATCTTTAGGTCAAAGAATACGTAAGAAATCACATCCAAACAAGAAGCCCTGAAAAAGCCAACAAGAAGATCCTCCTGATCACCCACTGCGTAACTCTTAGGATCTGGATGGGAAACTGGAGTGGAATGTCAAAACCCTACCAAGACTTCCCCAAAAACACCTATTGGGTTTGAAACTGTGAATTCTATCCTGACATTGACTACGACTATGCCACCCCTATCTAAGTCCCAAATATATTACCTCAACACATCTCCCCTCCCTCGGGGTTTTGGGGTTTTGGGGTTTTGGGGTTTTGGGGTTTTGGGG